CACATTGGAGACCCTGTTCTTAATCATGACCTGGACACATCCCTCTTTAGAGCAGCTGTGACCACCTGTGAGCAGTGCAGCCCATACCATCCACTGAGGCTCCCATGCAGACATTTAGAAGGCCTTTCCACTGCAGCTCAGAATGGCCCCGGGCGCCCACGGGCACGCCCATGTCACCAGCGCCACACCAGGATAAACAGCCAGGCCTTGCACTTGGCATGGGTTTGGGTGTCTGTGTTGGGCAGAGACGGGGAGAGCCCTTGCTGGGTGTGCCCCAACCTCCCGGTGCCCTGTGCCCCTCTGTGGGCCTGGACGCCTGGTGCTGCCAGCTGGGCCTGAGTCCCAAGGAGCTGAGGGTGGCTGTGGCTTTGAGGATCAGTGGGGTGACCAGGAGGGCGTGGGGCCGGTTGTTTCGTGTCCTCGGGAGCAACACTGGGCTCAGAAGGCAGGCACACTTGCTGTCCCTCAAGCCGTGCCTGGCTAGGCCTGGCGGGCTGTCATGAGGACAGTGCTGTCCCTTTGATGCAGGGATGGTTGTGGCTGCCAGGTGCTGTCCCTTCGAGGCAGGGATGAGAGCTGTCCTGAAGACGGGCCAGCCCTGTAGTGAGCGCCTGTCAGGGGCGGTGAGGTCCAGGTGCGTTGCACTGGTGGCCTGTGGCTGTGTGGTGTGGCTGCCAGGACAGCTGTGGGCCGGGCACAGAGCTCTGTCTGCTGGGGGTCAGTTGGTGCCGGGGTGAGGGCGGGCAGAGCTCACAGAGCCCCTCTGCAGCTCAGCTCACCCCGCAGCTCTGCCCCAGACAGCAAACCCACCACTCTCCTTTCTGTCACAGGAGGCCGTGGAGAAGGTGACACAGCACATCCACTCGCTGTCTGGGAAGAAGGACGGGCTGGTGCCCATGTTCATCAACACCCACAGCGGCCTCTTCACCCACCTGGGCGTGTTCACGCTGGGTGCCAGGGCCGACAGCTACTACGAGTACCTGCTGAAGCAGTGGATCCAAGGCGGGAAGCGGGAGACACAGTAAGGCCCCCAGCCCGCCCCCCTGCCCCGCCCCACAGGCCCCACCATGCCGTGTGCCAGGCCCAGCCCAGGTATTTCTGTGGGGGGCATATTCATTCATTTCTCACCATGACCTCTGAAAGGGGCCACTCTCACTAAGGACCATGGGCTGTGTGGGGTGGCACCTTCTGTCTGGCAAGGCCAGGCCTGCTGAGCTTGCATGGGCCCAGGATGTGCCTGTCCCTGGTGCCCCGCAGGAGCCCGTGCACCCATGCTGGTATAGTGAAGTGACTGCTGGTGTCCACAGGTTGCTGGAAGACTACATGGAAGCCATCGAGGGAATCAGAACGCACCTGCTGCGGCGCTCGGAGCCCAGTAAGCTCACCTTTGTGGGGGAGCTTGCCCACGGCCGCTTCAGTGCCAAGATGGTGAGTGTGTCCGTGGGGCCTCTGACCACCCCTTTTACCTTGGCTTCCAAGGTGCCTGAGTTGTGGTGTCAGAACAAGGAAATTCTGGCAACAGCGCCTGTGCGGAGGCCCTAGGTAGACTCTGCCTGCCCAGCCAGGCCTGTCCCAGCAGCAGGGCAGTGAGGCCTTGTGTGGCATGCGGGCAGGCAGGGCTCCCCTGGGCAGCTCCCTCCCCCAGCCCTCCCTGTGCTGGCAGCATGCAGCAGGTCCTCAGGCAGTGAGGGTGTGGGGCCGTGTTGGAGGGGCCTGGCCCAGGCGGCAGCTCTGCCATTCATGGCAGGTGCCCTTGTGTGGCCACCACTCCCAGGGTGCCAGGGGCTGAGGCAGCACTGGGCCCAGCATTGGCTGTCCGTGCAGCTGCAGGCTGAGGGCGGGGCTTGGGGTCTGGGGCTGAAGAGACCGTCTAATTCCAGGACCACCTGGTGTGCTTCCTGCCCGGGACGCTGGCTCTGGGTGTCCACCACGGCCTGCCCGCCAGCCACATGGAGCTGGCCCAGCAGCTCATGGAGACTTGTTACCAGATGAACCGGCAGATGGAGACGGGGCTCAGCCCGGAGATCGTGCACTTCAACCTTTACCCCCAGCCAGGCCATCGGGACGTGGAGGTCAAGGTGGGCCTGGGCCTGGGCCTGGGCCGCGGTCCCTTGGGAGGGTGCCATTGGGGCTGGCCTCGCCCTGAGCTCTGCCCTGCCCACAGCCGGCAGATAGGCACAACCTGCTGCGGCCAGAGACGGTGGAGAGCCTGTTCTACCTGTACCGCGTCACGGGGGACCGCAAGTACCAGGACTGGGGCTGGGAGATCCTGCAGAGCTTCAGCCGCTTCACGCGGGTGAGCGCCCGTCCGCCCTGTGTCCCGCCCCGGGCCACGCACAGCTGGGCTGTGGGGCTCGGGCTGGCCCTGCCCCCACAGTGGTTGTGGCCCAGGTCGGGGAGGAGTGGGCTTGCTGCAGCCTTGGGGTGGCTGCGTCACAGCCTGGGGGCCCTGGCACCCTCCTTTCTGAGCTTCATGGTGTGGCACCCACAGTCCTCAAAGGGGCCGGGTACCCCTCATTTTCATCTCAGGGCATAGCCTATCTGGGGAGGGCCCCTGCTGTGGGCCCAGTATCCCCCCAATTTAAGAGGCAGGTGCACCCATGACTGGGGCGCCATCCCCACTGTGGACCAGGTCCCCCTTCAGGTCACATCCTCCCCAGGCCATTGCCCTCTACAGCGGAGCCCCATGAAGCCTGAACGTCAGCTCCTGGCTCTGCTGTCCCATGGCCAGAGGCCCTGCTGCCTCAGCTCCCGCCATCTGCCCCGGCCCTCGGCCCTGCGCCCTGTGAGGACCCCTCAGACCACGTTCCGGGGGAGGCAGTTTCTCTCCTGGTCACTTGATGGTTGTTAGCATTTCCAGGTGGTTTCTCGTGGAACCACAGTTCGCCTGGGGGCGGCCATCATCCCAAGCCTGCGCTGGGGGCCTTGTGCACCATGGGGTGGGGGCGCCCAGCAGTGAGGCTGAGTGGGGGTGCAGGGTGCGCCAGTCTATTGAGAAGGCCGCATGCACCGTGGGGTGGGGGGCGCCCTGTCTCCTGACGACGCCCTGGCTGTGCACAGGTCCCCTCGGGCGGCTATTCTTCCATCAACAACGTCCAGGATCCTCAGAAGCCTGAGCCCAGGGACAAGATGGAGAGCTTCTTCCTGGGGGAGACGCTCAAATACCTGTTCCTGCTCTTCTCCGATGACCCGGATCTGCTCAGCCTGGACGCCTACGTGTTCAACACCGAGGCCCATCCTCTGCCCATCTGGACCACCGCCTAGTGGGGACAGCTGCTGTGGGGAGTCTTCGGGGGGGCAGAGGCGCCTTGTTGGGTCTGTGGCATGTTCCAGGGGCCCATGTGGCCCCGGCAACCGCTGAGTGACCCGGGTTCCCACCTGGCTCTAGACCCCTCCTGGCCTCTGCTTTCATCAGGACTTGGTGAGGCCAAGTGAGAGCTGTCAGCCTGCGTGTGATACAGGGTGGGCTGGGCCGGCGGAGCCTCCGCCTGCTTCCCCCAGAAAATGTAATCATGACTCATGATTGTTGAAACCTGAGCCCCTCTCTGTGGGCTGACCACAGGGGGCTTTGAGGTGGCCCCAGGGCCTGTGGTGACCAAATGGACCGCCCGGGGTGCAGCCCTGCCCAAGCTCATGAAGCCTCAGGCATCCCCACCCAAGGGTCCGGAGGGGCTGCCCTGACCCCACAGGCCCGAAGCTCCAGGGCTGGCTCTGGTGTTTACAAGCTGGACTCAGGGACCCTCCTGGCTGCCCCGCGGGGGCTTGGAGGGCTGGACAGCACGTCCATCTGGCTCACGGGCCACTCCAGTGGAATGAGTCTTTTCGGTGGAGATAAAAGTCGATTTGCTCTAACTGATGTCACTGTCTGTAGGGGTCTCCGTGACTAGAAAGTCCGGGTGATGTTGGGGAGGAGCAGTTCTTTGGGTCACATCTCAGAATTCAGTTTGCTGAGACTGGACTCCAGCTGTCCCCGCCGCTGGGCAGGGAGCAGCCATGGGGTCCTCGGTGTCACTGGCCCTGTGGGGCAGACACTTTGCAGAAGGCGTCCTCACTCCTGCGTCTCATGGGGGCCACCTCCCTGCGGGGCTGGCACTGGGGTACATGGCTAAGGGATGCTTGGGCCCAGGTCGGGCACCTCCCAGCAGCCTGGCAGGGCTGTGGCCCCAAGCCTTGGGCCGTGGCAGCAGTCATCCTCCTCGTCACTCCACTGCCAGCTGCCGCCATCCCTGTCCCAGTGCTGACCCTGGGCCTTGACTGGGTCCCCCCAACCCTGAACCAGGTGACCTCAGGGCTGCACCGCTCATGTGAAGAATCCGTCGCCTTCACTTCCGGAAGACTTCCTTTCCCTGGGAAGCCAGAGCTGGTGGCAGCACAGGGCAGGGCCACCTGGACACAACCTGGGACTGACACCCGTTCTGCCGACAGAGGTCTGGGCCGAGTGTGGGCCTCCTCTCCCACCTCACACTGGACCTGACCCTGCACTCCTTCCTCTGTGTTTGGAAAGGGAACGGTGGCTGTGATGTGACCCTGATGCCCACCCCAAGTCACACTGGGCCCAATGCTGCCCTCCTGGGCCTGGTGCCCCATGACCGGCTGAAGGCAGGACTGGGGCAGTGGGTGGGGCCTGAACAGCTGGAAAAGGCATGCCTTCTCCATCTCACCCAGACCACTGGGACCACATGGGGGCAGCCAGCTGTGTGTCCCTTGGGGGCCGAAAGCAGTGGCCTCCCCTGGAGCAGTTGCTGTGTCAGAGGATGTCGGGGAAGGCCATCACCTCGGAAGTGTGGCTGCAGCCTCCGTCTGCACAGCTCGGCAGAGCGGGGATTCCTGGGGCAGGGGGCCCTACGGGGCAGACCCAAGTGCTGAGGAGCCTCTGCCGCCACCTTGCTGAACACAGGGCAGGCCCTGGCCTGTGCGGGGTGCCCAGCTCCCCTAGCCCCGTCTCAGTGTCTCACTCCCCCAGCTGCGTGTGGGCCCGCAGACAGGAAGGACGGGACATACGTGGCCTCCACGCGTTTATTCAGCCCCTTCCCTCTGCTGCCAGCCACCTCCTGAGCAAAGCCCCCACGCTAGGCTGGCCACCGTGGCTGAAATTCAGGGACCCAGAAAGTGCAGACAGGGCAGGGTGGGGGCCAGCCTGCTCCTCACTCCACAAGGAGCCTTGAGACCTCTCCCGCAGTCGCCCTGTGCTCAGAGGCGGAGTCTGGGCCTCCCACGCAGGGCTGGCTGCCGCTCACGCCTGGCTGCCTTTACCCACTCGCCAATGACGGTGGCTTCCAGCTTTCGCGCCTCGACCACGGACGCAGGGTCTTCCGGGTGGGAGGCTCTGGGGAGCAGGCACGGAGGGCGCCCGTCAGCCCCAGCCCTCAGCGAGCCTGCCCCGCCTGACCCACGACCACCGGCTGGGCCACCTCCCTCTGCACCTGAGGTCGAGATGATGCGCTCCCCCCTGGATGGTGACGGCGATGACCGACGTGCTCAGGTTCCTCCGAATCTGTGGTCAGCGGAAAGAACTCCATCAGGTGAGGAATGAGGCGATGCCGCCACCGGGGCCACGGAGAGAGGAGACATGAGGGGGTGGGGTCAGGAGTCGGTGCCATCAAGCAACCAGGGAAGAGAACCAGCCAGAGGCAGAGGCGGGAAGGTATCAGCCGGGGGCAAAGCCGGGAGAGGGGCCCACGCCTGTGATCCCAGCACCCTGGAAGGCCGAGAGGCGAGCACCGCTTGAGCCGGAGCTCGAGGCCAGCCTGGGCAACAGGGTGAGACGGTGTCTTTACAAAAAAGTGTATTTTTTAAATTAGCCGGGCATGGTGGGGCAAGGCTGTAGTCCCAGTGGTTGGGAGGCTTGAGCCTGGGTGGCCGAGGCTGCAGTGAGCCCTGATCTGGCCACTGTACTCCAGCCTGGGGACAGAGTGAGACCCCGTCTCAAACACAACCTAACAACCTAACGGGGTCAGGACTCACCCCGCCCCCTGCCCAGGGGTCCAGGTTCCCATTGGAGAAGATGATGTTGCTGGCGGCTCTGAGATCTGCAAAGGGCAGAGAAGGTGGTGACGTGGGCCCCCTCAGGAGCTGTGGGCCGTGGGCAGGGGTGCAGAGTGTGGGGCAGAGAGCAGGACGCCCCCCGCCCCAGCCTTACCACCCCCCCAGAAGCTGGTCTGCAGCCAGTCAGGCCGGGGCCACACGCCCCAGGTGTCCAGGCAGTACTGCTGGCGGAGCTCCTCCGTGAAGGGCAGGTCAGGGAACATATCTGTCACGTTGTTGCTGGCAAAGGTCAGGTTGATCTCGGTGCAGGCCTGCGGGCACCCCACCTGAGTCAGGCCAGCCCACACCCACCCTCGCCCCAGATGGTCAGGCCACCCACACCCCCACACCTGGCAGTCCCACGCCCTGGCGTCTGTCACCTGGCAGTCCCAGGCCCTGGCGTCCGTCACATGGCAGTCCCAGGCCCTGGCGGTCCCAGGCCCTGGCGTCCGTCACATGGCAGTCCCAGGCCCTGGCGGTCCCAGGCCCTGGAGTCACCTGGCAGTCCCAGGCCCTGGTGGTCCCAGGCCCTGGCGTCACCTGGCAGTCCCAGGCCCTGGCATGCATCACCTGGTAGTCCCAGGCCCTGGCGTCAGGGCCGGTGCCGCAGCCGGTGGGGTCGGCACAGCTGTGGTAGAGACGGTAGATGTCGTAGCAGTGCTCCGAGCCCGAGGCGTTGTAAACCAGCCCTGGGGAGGAGAGGTGCTGGGCCCGGTGGCCACACACAGACACGCCATGCGCTCTGGCCACCAACCTGTCCCCCTGGGAAGGGTCCTGCAGGGGTCTGGGGCTCTGGGGTCTGTGGGTCCCACTGAGGAAGGCCCTCCAGGCTCCCTCCTTGGAGGCTGGTGGGGTCTGTGCTGCCGGCCCTGGGCCTGGCTGTAGAGGACCCGTCTACTGGCCGGCATTGCCCTCTGTGCCTGGGATCCCAGAGACTCCTTAGCAGCAACCACTAAGCTGGTCCTGGCTACGGCCAGTGCTAGGAGGGTCCTCAGAGACAGGCACCGCCTCCCCCAGGGCTGCTGGGAAGGTCAGCTGCCCACCCCACCTTGGCCCTGGGGCAGGAGGCGGAGCCCCCACTGGGCTGCAGATCCTCGCCCCACCCGGCACCCACACTTGCCCATCTGGGGCGGGGGAAGGGCACCTGCTAGCGCGCGTAGCCCGGCGATCCTCTGGGCCTCACTCAGCAGCCGGTCACAGCCCACCTGGGGTACGGGGCAACAATACTCAGCAGGGTTCCCTCCGCCAGCTCCGCCTCCCTGGCTCTCAGGACGAGGGTCAGACCGCAGGCCACCAGCCTCGGGACGCTCCAGCGACCCGGGAGGCGCCTCACCTTGACAGGGTTGGCGGGGAGGGGACCCAGGAAGTCGGTGGGGTAGGGGTAGTCCATCATGGCCAGCACGGTGAAGGCGTTGCGGGCAAACACGAAGAGCTGGGTCAGGTCCTTCTCGTCCAACAGCGGCTGGCAGGTGCCGAACTCCCAGCTGACTTTGTCGTAGGCTGCAGGGAAGGGGGCAGAGGCTCGAGGCTTGGGTGCAGCTGGCCCTGGGGCGGGTCAGGCAGTGCGGGTGGAGAGCGGCCTCACCTCCCTGCAGGAACAAGTCCTTGATCTGCCGGAACGCTTCCCGCACCGCCTGGGTGCATTTGGGACCCTGGTCCTCAAAGTCCTGGGGGAAAGAGAGCGAGCTCGCTGCAGCCGCTGTCCCAGGGGCCTGGAGGACCCCAAGCCTCACTCACCGCCGTGACGTCCCGGAAGAACTGGGTGGAGTCGCCGAGCCCTGCCACGGCTAGGAGGGGCGCACTGGCTGCCAGCGCCCCAGCCACCAGGTGGGGGTACTTCATCCTCAGGTAGGCACTCAGCATCCCCCCATAACTGCGCGAGGGGCACAGGGTTAGGACTGCTGCCCCCAACACCCACTTCCTCTCTCCCTCCTCAGGGGCCCACGGGCACCACATGGAGGACCTGACACTTCCAAAGACCCTCAGATTCCCACCCTGGGGCTGGGGCGGGTGTGGCCCTCACTGGGAAAGGCCATGGTGTGGCCAGCACATTGCAGCTGAGCCGGTGGCTGGGAGGACAGAGTGGGAGGGCTTCCTGGAGGAGGCAACACTAAGCCTGGAGCCGCCGTCTGAGGCCGTAGGAAAAGGCGGCGGTGGGAGTCAGAGTCAGTCAGAGGCCGGGCCAGCGCGCAGCCACCGCTGCAGACAGGGTGGGGAGAGGGGCGCTGGGCTGGGGGTGCTGGGTCGGGGCAGGGGAGGGTGGGGGTGCGGAGGCCGGGGAAGGCGCCCACCTCCCACCGAAGGCGATGGCGGGGACGTCCTGGGCCCCGAGGTCGCGCCGTAGCGCGCGGAGCAACTCTGCGAAGTCGGCCAGGGCCTGCTCCACCGTCAGCAGCTCCGTGTGTCCGCGCTGCGTGGACCGCTCGCCGAACGGCAGCGACTTCCCGTAGTAGCGCTGGGGGGGGACGCGCTGCTGAGCCCGGCCCCGCGACCCCCCGGGACAGACCACCCGCGACCCCCCTGCGACCCCCCCGGGACAGACCCCCTCGCGACCCCCCAGTGACCCCCGGGACAAACCCCCCACGCGACCCCGCCCGCGACCCCGCCGGGCACCCACGTGCTCCGCGAAGACCAGTAGAGCCCCCTGCTCGGCCGCCAGCTCCGCGATGAACCCCGAGTTGTTGGCGAAGGCCCACACGTCGGCCTCGTTCCCGGTGTAGAAGAAGATGGGCCCCTCGCCCCGGATCCAGAACCTGTCTGTGGGGAGGGTGGGTGAGGCCGGGGGGCTGGGGGGCCGGGGCCGGGGCGATGGGGCGGGGTCCTGGGGTCTGGGGCCGGGGAGGGGGGCCGGGGGGGACCTGAGGGGGGGACCTGGGGGCGTCCGGGGAGGGACCTGGGGGCGGAGGCCTGGGGGGGACCTCGGGGGGCACCTGGTGGGGGCCTCGGGGCTGGGGCCGGGGCGATGGGGCGGGGACCCGGGGGCCGGGGCCGAGGTCTCACCCGACACCAGGAAGCGCTGGGCGAAGGTCTTGTTGCCGAAGCGCTCGAAGTTGAAGTGGTCCAGACGCTGCTGGAAGTAGCGCTCCTGGAAGCCGGGGTCCGGGGCCCTGCGGGCTGGGGCCACGCGGGCCTCCGAGGCGGGGCCGGGGCCGGGGCCGGGGCCTGAGACGGGGCCGGGGGCGCCGCCGCACTCACCCCCCGCCCGGAGGCCGCGCAGCCCGAGCGCCAGCAGCAGGACCGCGGCCCAGGGAGCGGAGCCCATGTCGCCTTCCGCGGGCGCCCGTCACGTGGCGGGGTCACGGGGCCGCGCTCCTCCCTCCAGGCCCCACGTGCTCCCGGCGCCCGCGGTCCCCATGGAGACGGGCGCCGCGCTGAGGTCCCTCCCGGGCACTGCGCGAGGAAGCCGGGAGCCCCTGGGGGTCTGGGTCCCTGGGCTACCTCGCTGGCTCGTCCTCCCACCGCGGCCCCACCCGGAGCTGCATCGGGGCGCGTCCCTGTTGAGCCCCGCCAGGCCTCCCCAGCCCGCGCCCCTGGCCGGTGTCCCACTCGAAGGCAGGGCCAGGAAAGGGGGGACCGTTCTGCTGCACCTGAGGGCCTTGGGGAGATGGGGTTCCTGGGGGTCCCAAACAGTGATGGCGCCTGAAGAAAGGGACCCAGGGTTTGTCCAAGCGATAGCAGGGGCTGCGCAGGTGTGGGGGGTGGAGCTTGGGATTGGGCAGGGGCGTGGGGTGCTCCCAGAGGGTCTGGGCAGGGCCAGAATGTGGCCATGTAGCTCCTAAGATTCGGGAATTGCTACCTGTTCTTCCGACTGGCACCAACACAGCCCTGCAGGGACAAGAGGGGACCGGAGGCCTCTGCTGGGAGCTGGGGCCCCCTCACTGAGGAGCACCCAGCGGACCGAGGAAGTCACCTTTCCCGTGTCCAGTCCAGGGCGTGGGTGAGGGGCCACACAGGTGGGTGGTAGACCAGCCACGTGGAGTCCTGCTGGGAATGGACATGAGCTGCTAGCCAGGCCCAGAACAGGTGCAGGGGCAGCTCTGGCTCAGCCCCAGACGGAAGGGGAGTGATCCTGTCTCTCTCCCAAGACTGCCCTCCCGCCAGCATGACCCTGCCGTGCCCATCCTGGGCTAAGTGGGGAAGACCAGCCACTTCCACAGCCCATCACACCATGGCCCCCGGTGCCTCACACAGAGGCACCCCCACGGTGGGTGACTGGCAGCTGGGGCCCTCAGCATGGTGGCATTGACCGTCACGTCACACCACAACAGGAGGCCATCCAGGACCACACGGCATCCCCACCACCGTCCTCACATCCAGCCCTGTCCCACGCCCACACAGCACCTGGGGCTGCCGCCGGGGCCCCCACAGGACGGGGTGAGGACAAGCAGCAGCCCTCCTTGAATGTGGGGGCACCCTGGGTAGCCAGAACTCCACCGGCACCCAGCACGCAGGATCACAGCCCTGGAGATGCCAGCAAGGCCGAGAGCAGGCAGGCGGCTCCCCAAACACACCAGGGCCTGGAGATGCCCCCCAATGTGACCACACGCAGGCGCGCAGGCTTGGCTTGGCCCACAGAGGAGCCAGAGCCCTGGGAGGGGCGCAGGGGCAGGGCTTTCAAGGAAGCCATGTCCCCTCTTGTCCACAGCCCAGGCCTTGATGTCACTCTGGGCAGCAGCCAGGACCTCCCAAGCTGGGGAGGGTGGGCACGGGGCCAGCCAGCACAGCTCTGCAGGGGGTGAAGATGGCCACAGCCCCCTGCCCACGTCCCTGGACACCCCACACCCCACCGCACACAGAGGCCAGGCAGGCACCCTAGGGAAGGTGGGCCTCCAGGGATGCAGCTGGCAGATGGGCCAGGCACACAGGTGGGAAGACGCCTGGCATGGCCACCTGACATGTTGAGGGGCACAGCTCCTGTGGGGCACCCCCCCCCAGGTCTGCATTGCCAGCACCCTTGTCAGCCTGTGCAGGGCACAGGTCACTGGGGGCAAGTGGGCTGAAGCCAGTCATTCCTGTGCAGATACAGGGCTCTTGGAGAGCCTCTCTGCCCACCCTGGAGTGGGACAGATGGGCAGGTCGGCTGCAGAGCCACCAGCTGAGGGGGTGAGAGGTCCCTGGGCAGAGGAATCCCAGGAGCCCAGCCAGCGAGGGCGAAGCTGCTGAGCCCAAACCCTCCCCAAGGCCACCTGCCTCCACCAGACCATCCAGGCAGCTCCTCCACACACTGATTCCTGCTGGGACCACCCATCCCACCCTCCACGGCTCAGACTGGGGGCCATGCCTGGCCACGCCTGCCATCTGTGCTGCCCCTCAGACCAAAAGGCTGCAGGTGGGCGGCTGGCAGGCGGCTTTGGTGCGTGTGGCCAGGACCTGCTGTGTCTGCACTGAGGGTGGTGCTGGTCTTCGCTGAATTATACTTAATATGAAATTTACCACTTGACCACTTTGATGTGTGAAACTCAGTGGCATCAAGTACATTCACAACACTGCGCTGAAATCACAATTTCCCAAACTACCTCGTCACCCGACAGAAACTGTAGCCATTAAACAATGACCCCCAGCCCCTGGACCCACCACCTGATCATTTGTCTCTGTGGCTCTGCCCAGTCCAGCTATATCAGCGGAATCCTACAGGATTTTATCCCATTTCTTTTTCTTGGTGATGGTCCTGCTGCCACCCAGCCTGGAGTGCAGTGGCACAGTCTGCAATCTCTGCCTTCCAGGGTCAAACGATTTTCCTGCCCCAGCCTCCGGAGTAGCTGGGATTATAGGCACCCACCAACACACCCAGCTCATTTTTGTTTCTTTGGGTTTTCTTTCCCCCGAGACAGAGTCTTGCTCCGTCGCCCAGGCTAGAATGCAGTGGCGTGATCTCGGCTCACAGTAACCTCCACCTCCCGGGCTGAAGCAATTCTCCTGCCTCAGTGTCCCGGGTAGCTGGGATTACAGGCATGCACCACCATGCCCGGATATTTTTTGTATTTTTAGTAGAGAAGGGCTTTCACCATGTTGGCCAGGTTGGTCTCAAACTCCTGACCTTAGGTGATCTGCCCGCCTTGGTGTCCCAAAGTGCCGGGATTTCAGGCGTGAGCCACCGCGCCCGAACCTTTAGCCACGGTGAATACTGATACAATGAACTTGGGTGTGGAGGCAACCGTCTGAGTCTCTGCTTTCAACTCCTTTATATTTCCAGAAACAAATTTTCGGGATCATATCTAATTTGACACCAGATTTATTTTGCGGATCCACCGTAGTTTCTGGCAGCGTCTTTGCCAGTTTACCTCCCTGCCAACGGTGCGTAGGAGCTCCGGCTTCTCCACGTCCTCACCGACACGCACCACGTTCCGCTCTTTTGGGAGCAGCCGTCCTAATGGGAGAGGCGGTCTCCCCGGTGGTTTCGATTTGCCTCTCCCTAACCATCAGTGATGTTGAAGCTTTTTCCTGTGTTGACCGGCCATTTGTGTGTCTTCTCCGGAGAAATGCCTACCAGATCCTTCGCCCACTTTTTAATTAGGATGCTTTTGAGTTTCATTGTTTTTAAAAACCATCTGGATCTTAACCCTTTGTGATCGGCAAATCTTTTCTCCCGTTCTGTGCGTTGCTTTTTTATTCTGTTGATACTGCCCTTTGATCTGCAAACGTTATTTCGGTGACATCCACTTCATCCGTCTCTTTTGTTGCCTGTACTTTTGGTCTATGTTTTTTTTTTTTTTTCCTAAGAGTTTTATAGTTTTTTTGTTGTTGTTTTGGGGGTTCTTTTGAGACAGCCTCACTCTGTCGCCCAGGCTGTAGTGCAGTGGTGTCATCTGGGCTCACTGCAACCTCTGCCTCCTGGGTTCAAGTGATTCTCCTGCCTCAGCCTCCTGAGTAGCTGGGATTACAGGTGTCTGCCAGCACACATAGCTAATTTTTGTATTTATTTATTTATTTATTTATTTATTTTTAAAGATGGGGTTTCACCATGATGGCCAGGCTGGTATTGAACTCTTGACCTCAGGTGAGCCACCCACCTTGGCCTCCCAAAGTGCTAGGATTACTGGCATGAGCCACCGCACCCAGCTAATTTTTGTATTTTTAATAGAGACGGGGTTTCACCATCTTGACCAGGCTGGTCTCAAACTCCTGACCTCAAGTTATCTGCCCACCTCAGCCTCCCAAAGTGCTGGGATTACAGGTGTGAGCCACCATGCCCAGCCAGTTTTAAGACAGATATATATATATATATATATTTTTTTTTTTTTTGAGACAGTCTCACACTGTCACCCAGGCTGGAGTGCAGTGGCACAATCTTGGCTCACTGCAATCTCTGCCTCCTGAGTTTAAGCAATTCTCCTGCCTCGCCCTCCCGAGTAGCTGGGACTACAGGCGTGCGCCACCACACCCAGCTAATTTATTTGTATTTTTCAGTAGAGACGGGGTTTCACCATGTTGGCCAGGATGGTCTTGATCTCCTGACGTTGTGATTCACCTGCCTCCGCCTCCCAAAGTGCTGGGATTACAGTTGTGAGCCACTGTGCCCGGCCAACTTTTTTTAATTAAAAACTACATGGAACACTTCACGGATTTGCGTGTCCTTCTTGCGCAGGGCTGTGCTAATCTCTGTATTGTTCTAATTTTAGTATACGTGCTGCCAAAGCGAGCACGGTTTTGGCTCTTACATCTCGGTCACTGATCCATTTTGAGTTGATTTTGGCGGATGACGTGACGTAGTGGTCCAGCCTCACCGTCTGCATGTGAATATCCAGTTTTCCCAGCACCATTTGTTGAAGAGACTGGTTTTTTGTTTTGTTTTTTCCTGAGACAGGCTCTTGCTCTAGAATGCCGTGGTGCAGCCTCTGCCTCCCAGGCTCCAACATCAAACCATCCTCCTGCCTCACCCTCCCGAGTAGCTGGGACTACAGGCGTGCACCACTTTGCCTGTTTTTTTTTTTTTTTTTTTTTTGAGACAGAGTTTCACTCTTTTTGCCCAGGCTGGAGTGCAATGGTGTGATCTCAACTCACTGCAAGCTCCCCCACCCGGGTTCAAAGATTCTCCTGCCTCAGCCTCCCGAGTAGCTGGGATTACAGTCATGTACCACCATGCCCAGCTAACTTTGTAATTTTTTAGTAGAGATGGGGTTGCTCCATATTGGTTAGGCTGGTCTCAAACTTCCAACCTCAGGCAATCCGCCCACCTTGGCCTCCCAAAGTGCTGGGATCCCAGGCACCTGCCACCATGCCCGGCTAATTTTTGTTTTTGTTTTTTTTTTTTTTTTTTTGAGATGGAGTTTCGCTCTTGTTACCCAGGCTGGAGTGCAATGGCGCGATCTCGGCTCACCGCAACCTCCGCCTCCTGGGTTCAGGCAATTCTCCTGCCTCAGCCTCCTTAGTAGCTGGGATTACAGGCACGCGCCACCATGCCCAGCTAATTTTTTGTATTTTTTTTAGTAGAGACGGGGTTTCACCATGTTGACCAGTATGGTCTCGATCTCTTGACCTTGTGATCCACCCGCCTCGGCCTCCCAAAGTGCTGGGATTACAAGCGTGAGCCACCGCGCCCGGCCTAATTTTTGTATTTTTAGTAGAAACAAGGATTCATCATGTTGGCCAGGCTGGTCTTGAACTCCTGACCTCGGGTGATCCATCCACTTCGGCCTCCCAACGTGCTGGGTTTACAGGCGTAAGCCACGGTGCCCAGCCCAACTTTGCTCTTTCGAGATTGCTCTGGATCGCTTAAGGAAGCATTAACATCTTAACAATGCTGACTTCCTTCTCACAAACAAGGGTTCCTTTGCACTTATTTA